AGCACTCCATTGAGGGCACAGTATGCGGGGAGAATTTCCTGGAAGTGTGCAGCCCACCCACTTCAGAAGCATCGTGTCTCTTTAGAACTGCTGTTGCTGATTCGTGATTTTCTTAATCAGTTGTTGAGAAAAGAAACATCCTCATGAAATCTGTCAGTGTGCACACATGGGAAAATGAGGTCCAGGAAGTTGCTTGTCCTGTCGCAGTGGCCTCAGAGGACCATGAGTGGAAAGTCCTGTCTGATCTTTGTGCCTAGAACATTAGTCCTTCCTCTGAGCGAGTGATCTGGACAGCGTAACCTTAGAGCTGCTGTGTTCTCCCTATCTGAGTTGGCTGTTACAATGTTGGCTGTCAAACTGAGTGAGGTGTTCAGCTCTGAAGGGCCTGTGTGCTTACTGATAGTCCCTGCTTCTCTTTGTCTTGACCTTGATGTTTCTTGTCTTTTTTTTTTCAACAGTATTTTCTTCTATTTTAAATTACGTATCCTTGGAAGTCATTCCTGTGTCCTTTCTGAAATAAAGTAATAGTTAAAACATAATAAAAATGACTGTTGAATTTTCTTTAACTGTCATTTCTGAACTGTTTAAAAATTTCCAGTGCCCCCCCCCCCCAATCCTTCCATCTGCCCAGTCAGTTCTGATTTGGTATCTAAATAAGAATAAGAAAAACTAAATCCTTTTGGTGCTTATTACATATAAAATAAACCTTCATGGTTTTGATTCAAGACCTCTGCCCCCTCTCTCTACAAATTCAAGATATAAGTAAGCTTCTTGGTTCATATTAATTAATTAATTACAGGACATTTGGGGGCACCAAACCATGATACAATAAGAATTAACTTCCAGGGGGACTTCAAAAAATTCATGGAGAGTTGACCCTGTGGCCTTCAAGTTAGGGGAGCCAGATGCCACATAGCCAACTGTCTGGTTTGAGTCTCAGCCTCAGCGGCTCAGAAAACACTTGGGTACAGGTGTGTGCATGCTGAAGTCCTGACAAGATGGAGAAATAGATAAGGGATTGTTGTGTGATTATACCCCCATTGGAGTGCTTTCTCCTTCTCCTTCTCTCTCTATCCCCCCCCATGCAAAATGTTTTAAAATTTATATATAATTTTTTAATAATAGACATTTTCCATGGTACTTTTTGAATATTTCTTATACTTATGTAGCATTTTATAGTTTCTAATGTTTCATATTCAATTTATAATTTCTTTCTTACGATAATTGTTCGGGTAGGTGTGACTAAGGCAGATATTATTACATCGTCATTTTCTCAGGTGGCTTCAGAATGAGTGATTTGCCAGCCTGAGGTCACATAAGAGCCTGGTAACTGAACATGGGCATTTTCATGGCAGCATAATACCCTTTTCTCAGTATGCTCTGAGTCCTGGACGTTGCAAAGACTTCAAAATGACAGAATACCCCTTAGGAAATTTTTTTTTAATTGACAGAGGATGAATGCATGCATGGTCATGCCTTAGTCTCTTTTCCATTTCTCCGTCCTGCTAGAATTTGGGACACTTGCACACGTGCACACCTGGCATGTTTTTCATGCCACTGATGGTGGGATTTGAATGTAGGTTGGCCATGGAGGGTCTGCCTCTCTTAACCACTAGGCTGTAGGGCCAGCCTAGGAATGTTTTATGAAGGTAAAAAATAAAGTTCCTTTCTAGCAAACTTTTTAGGAAAAGCCATGGATTAAATGCCATAGACACAGGATTTCTGACACTTGTCATATTTTCATCTTGAGGCATACTGCAGGATTGGAGCAGTGGGACTTCTCAGTCCTGTCTATTTTTGCAGGTATTTGAAAGCTGAGTTTAGTTTTGGTGATTCCTTCCCCGCCTTTGCTACACATACTTCCCTGTGCGATTGGGTATCTGACACCTGACACAGAAACTGTATGAGTTGAAGATGAGTCAGAGACAGAACGACTTGGTCCCTTCAGCATCCGCTTCACTGGGGATCGTCTATAGAGTGTGAACAGGCAGATGCTGGATTGCAGCAGCATGGCTTGTGTGTGTGCGCATGAGCTGTGGCAAGTTGTATAGATCCTGTCTCCAGCTGGATTAATTAATTCCCCAAACTGTTTCACAAGTTGAAACGACTGATTTCACCCAGTTTATGATATGGCTGTAGTTTCAGTGGATTAGATATCATGTTGCTAAGGAGGCTCCCACCCCATAGCACACTCCTTGTCATTAGCACATGTTCAATGGTAGTGGGAATAAAAGCTGGTGCTCGTTGAGAACTGATCTGGGAGTAGGCATGAAGCAAACTGCAACATACATCATCTCATGCAATACCTTTTGTTTTAGTTTTTTTTTTTTTTTTGAGAGAGATTTTTGCTGTAGGGTGGGCATTTTCGCTGAAGAGACAGAAATAGAGTGAGAAATCACCCCCCAGTGAGATACCATCCCCCGGGGTGGGGGTGATGGCCACACTGCAATCCCTTTTCCTCCATTCTCCTCTTAGGATTTTGGGCACACATGCACATGCGTCCAGTGTGAGTTTCAAGCTGCCAGGTCCAAGACTTCAGCTGCAGTCGACCATTTGGGAGTCCAGGGCCTTAACCACTACACCGTCTGCTGGCCCCTCATGTAATGCTTCTAACAACCCAATAGTGTCTCCATTCGTAGAAGAGAAGACTGATGTGTAGAATTTGCACCAAATCGCCCTGCAATATAGGTTTGACTTGCAAAGTGTAGATTTGAGCAGATGCACACTCCAAGCTTGAACTCCCAGTCTTGAGCTTGGTTCATAGCTGCCTCCTAATGAAATCAGTCTTCTCAGCCCTTAAAGAAAGCCCGGAGTACTGGCAGTTCTTGAGTTGCCATGATATATTCAGGAGGTGTTAGCCTACAGGGAGCGGGAGGAATGCTGGTTGGCACATTGTGACCTTCTTTTAGCAGCTGCTAGCAGAGGGACAAATGCGGCATTCACTAGCCCAAATTGTAGATCAGTTTCACCACCAGAGTCACAGGTAGATTCCACCTCCCCCCCACCAAAACTCGGGGGAATAAAACCCTACCAAATTGACTCGGTTTTGTTTTCCTTTGTATTTTATGAAGAGTGCCATCCATCTTTCACCTTCCCCTGTAGTTTTTCTGCGCAGAAACTGGAAGAAATAGATAAAGAAAGATTTCAGTTCTGGGAGATAGAATATGTATCTTTTTGTTAAGTATAAAAAATGCATTATCAGCCTCCGTTGTGCAGGTGGAAGGACAGCCGCCTGCAGGCCCCTTTGCCAGCAAGCATCCAGCCTTGCAAATTATTGGCAGCTGGCACCGTAATGAGTCCATTTCAATATAAATGGGCTGTTGCTTATTAATTTCTGCCAGTTTCTAAGCAATTCAGGAGCTGCTTTGAAAATTTGGAAATTTGCAGAGAGTGGTTAAAGGAGGAGGCCTAAGAAAAAGGAATGAACAGGATAGCAGTGGGGGAATTATGGAAAGGCCATGTACTGTGGGGTAATCATGGGGTATTGCTGAGAACTCGTGCTCCTTTCTTTGCAAGCATGAGTCACTGACTTCACAGTTAAATAGCACATTCGCCAAGCTAAGTGAGGACTGTAACTTTGCGTGTTCTGTATGGATGTATATATTAATTTATTTACTGCCTCTGTGACTTCTTTCCATAAAATAGGGAATTTCCTCCATGTTCTTCTCCAAGTGTTTGGCATCCCAAGTTCCCACCTTGCCAAAACCACCAGCAATGGGCGACAGCAGCAAGCTACACGTGAGGCTGTCCAGTAGGGAATAACAAGAAAAAAGCACTCGAAGAACCCATCAGGGTTCTGCTCCCTTTGGTGTTTACAATCTCACCTCAAAGGACTAGCTGGAAAAAACGGAAAAGGAGACCCCGCTTGGTCCTGGAGCCATTCTTGTCAGTTTATTTTCCTTGTTAAATAACATTTTGGACATTTTACCTAAATTCTTGCTTGTGCATATTCTTCATAAGTTTTCTCCGAATTTAATGTCTGGTATCTATTTAAAAAAATGCACTGTTTATTTATTTCATGAGAAAGAGATGCACACACACAAACGCAGAGGCAGGCACCCTAACACAGTCTCACCATTTACACCACGATGCTTCCTACAAGATTTCCAGCCCCCCCAGACTGAAACCTGGGCCCTCTGCAAGGCTGCCATGTTTCAGTCAACCTGGAATCCAGATGCTGGCCTTTCTCTCATGGCTCCAGTATTGAGCACTGGCACCCTACTCCCTGTGCTCTGTAACAGGGCTAGTAGGTTCTTGCCATCGGGTGCATGTGCTCACTGGAGAAAGAGGGCAAGTGAGAAATCACTCCCCCCCTTTTGAGGGGGATGGCTGCATCACAGTCCCTTCTCCTCCATTCTCCTCTTGGGATTTTCGACATGCATGCACACACACCCAGCATAGTATTCAAGCTGCCAGGTCTGGAGATTGAACCACGGTTGGCCATGTGGGAGTCTAGTGCTTCCATCACTGTGCCACCTGCTGGCCCTACGTTTGCCGCCCAAAAAGAGCATGTTTACATGAGAAGGTCTAGATATTTAATTTGGTCTTCTTTTTACTGTCTTATAGCGTTTTCTTTGACTTCCATTATAATTATAGCTCTACTTTGAGAATGACTGAGACTCCTTCATTTCTTTTCATTTCTCTGTGTAGACTCTTTGGAGATTAAGAGGGGACCATGGACATCATTCCATCATAACCTGTTTCTGTTATCCTATACTTTGATCTACAAAGATAAAGTAAAAGGACAAAATAACTTAGTTTGCATGACTATTTATTACCATAAATATAAACATGCTTATATTTATTTATTTACCTGAGTAAGCCTATCATTTTATACCTGTAGCTAAATATTGCATTGTTGAATTCAGGAGTCTATTTTAAACAAAATTGATGTCAGAGAATTGATAAAATGGGCTTGACAACAGAAAATGCTTGTTTCCTTTCTTCCGGCTGATGGTGTCTTTTTTGTTTTCTGTCCTCTCCTACTCTCCTGTTTCCAGGATTTTGGCTCATTCTCACCGACTCAGATGAGACCCTGATGGATACCCCAGGGGGCAGATGTTGACACACTCCCCAGCCCCAGCTGCTGACATCATTTTCAACCTCAATATCTAAATGCCACAGTGCTCTTGGGGCAAATTGGGCTGGGGAACGCTGCTGCCTTTTAAGGTGGGTTGTGTACATGAGAGTGACCCTGTATGTGTCTGCAGGAATCAATGGAAATGCTGCAGAGGTGGTGGGATGAGTATGTTTTCCTACAGTGAGAATGTCTGTGTTATATGTAGCGCGTGAGAAAAAGAATTTGGAATCGCTTCTTTGGATTAAGGTTACACCCATCTAACAATTCAAAAGCATTAGCGTTAAGACAAACAAAACGAAAAAGACAGCACAGGTACCTATGAAATCTGTTCTCTCCCTGTGAATTACCCTCAGGATCTTTTAAATCTAACCCTGAGCTTCACCATCTTTAGATTGGATTATGTTTGAAAAAAAGCGAACCTAGCTTCAAAATCTAACTTCAAAACAATGATACGTTTTTGTTTCTGCACTGGATAAGCTTTCGAAAGCAAAAATAAACACAGTCAAAATAATAATCTCTTCTAAATCAAAGATTGTCTTATATTTGTGGCCGAACTTTTTTGTGCAGTCGCTTATGTTAGGGGTATTCCTGTGTGACTTGGCAGACCTCTTCAAGGGTTGTAACGATTTAGCGAAAACTTTCAGAACTTTGTCTCAGTTTAATCTTAGCTCTTTTTCCCTCCCTGCTTTCAAGCTCAGCCTCCAGTAGGGAAAAAACAGGCTTGAAACCAAGACCTCCCACTAGAATCTAATTTTAAATTTGCAATCTGTTGTCTTGTGATTTTCGCTTCAAATTTAACTTTGAAATAAATACATTTCATCCTTTCTCCTGCAGTTTTCAGAGGTCTGTTTTCAAGTCATAGAAGGGTAATCATTATGTTTATTTTAATAAGTTTTAAATACCTCAGGGGAGTGAAAAATTATATTATTAATACTTATAATTTATATACATCATTAAATGCCTTATGGTTGGATTTCACAATATCCTTCCCAAGACAAAGAAGCCTTACTTATTTTCACTGTCAACTTTTGACTTTGAATAGGGTTCACCAATGGAGTTTATTATTGCTAATTTTGTCTTTATTTTGAGAATTTTTTTTTTTTAAGAAAGATTTTTGCTATAGGGTGAATGAACTTGCCAGAGAGAAAGTGAGAAATCACCCCCCGGGGGGATGGCCACACAACAATCCCTTCTCTTTCATCCTCCTCTTGGGATTTTAGGTACATGCCGGTGCCTGGTGTGAGTTTCAAATCACTGGGTATGGGACTCAAACCATACTCGGCCATGCAGAAGTCTAGTGCCTTAATCACTGTACTGCCTTTTGCTATAGGGCATGTGTGCTTGCTGGAGAGACAGACAGAAAGCAAGAAGTCACGCCCCCTGGGGGATATCCACATGAAATACCTTCTTCTCTGTCTGTTCTCCTCTTGGAATTTTGGCCAAGGATGCACACATGTCTGGCATGAATTTCAAGCCTCCAGGTCTGGGATTCGAACTGCTGTTGGCCATATGGGAGTTCAGCACCTTAACCACTATCCTGTGTGCTGGCTCTGTAATTTATTACTTTATGTATTTGAAATGTCCTTTTTACAAGGAAGTCTCAGCAATGAGCATTCTCACTTGAAAGAACTGGACTAAAAATTTCAGTATATTTCAGTTACAAATAATGATGAGAGTTAAGGCATCAAGAAAATTTAATAAAATGGGAAGGGAGGATGTAAAAACAAGACAAGGAAATCAGTGTACAAATAACCTGCCACAGATTCAGGTTATTTGAGGGGGTCCAAGTGCCGTTGGAATGTAGAGGAAAAGGGGTTAAATCCAGGCTACACAGTATTTGCTCTATCTTAGGTGATTTCCCGAGCCATCTGTTTGGAGTTTGGGTGGTGTGCTGTTTTGTTGTAGTTGTCAGCATAGTGCCCACATCCTCACTCCCTTCAATTATGTTTTTTTTAAAGTTAGGTAACTTGAAACCTATTAACATTTTTTTTCTTAAAATGAATAACCTGTTTAGTACAGAAACTTCAGGCAATAAAAAAAGGGTAATTGTGAAAATTAAAATGATCTCTTAAGCACTCTATCCAGAACAGAACTGGTTTTAAAATAGCTTATAAAATTCTTACACCAATTTATCATGTATGTGTTTGAAATATTCACTCAATATATTCTTTAAGAAAAGTGGAACTTGCTCAAAGTCTGTGTCTTGAATGTACATCTCAAATACAAAATTTATTTCTTGAAGATATGAAGAGGTTTACCCCAGAGATGTTTAATCTTGGTAGCTGAAACATCCTTTTGCTCAGTTATTCCAGAATAAGACAAGCCTTGGTCGCTGACCCACAAGACTGGGCTGTGATCATGTGGAACACTCCTATTCTTTAATTGTGGGGTGGGGCATCCTGCTGTCCTGCCAGGAACACCGCTGGTTAATCTAGGAAACTGGACACCCTAAACCTTACTGTATTAGTCCAACATCCTTAGTTCTCAGTGATGCAGTTACTTCCAGAGTCCCTTGTTTCCTTGCCTTTCCCTCTGAAAAATCTGTAATTGTGTATTTTCCTTTGTTCTCTCTGCCCAGAATTTTTGCCATGGGGTGGCTTTCTATTAATTAGAATGTTTTCTCATGCAGTACTGAGGAAATATGACATCGGAGTGATGAAATAACATAGCATACATGTTATATCTTGAATCTTACATGGTGTACCTTTCTTTTTTGTATGTGTTCTAATTCTCTACTTGTACACATCATTGATGTTCATAGTGATCTTGCATGGATATTGTATTTGGTTAAGTTTTTCATTCATTTCAAGAGTGTTTACCTTTACTCAGGGAGCACAGTTACAATTGCTTCTTTAAGGTCTTTGTGTGGTAATTCTAACATCTGAGGCCCCTTGAATTTGGCGTCAATAATTATTTTGGGCCAGCAGGTGGCGTGGACATTCAGGCAGCTGAATCCCACATGGCCAACTGTGTAGATTGAGAACTGGACCCAACAACTTGAAAAACACTCTGGGCATGTGTGTTTGCATGCGTGCCCCAAATCTCAAGAGAAGAATGGAGAAGAAGGGATTGTGGTTTGGAAAAAAAAAAAAAAAGTCTTTATCCTTGATGACTGATTAGATTTTTCTGGTTCTTTGGAATGCATCATGGACATTTTGAATAGTATATTGTGAGACTCCAGGTCTTGTTAAAATCATCTGGAAAATGTTGAATTTTCTTTGTTGATATTTTTGTAGGCAATCAATGCAACTGGGTTCAGATTGTAAGTTCTGTCTTATCTGGGTGGGGACACTAGTGTCAGTCCAGTTTTCAAAGCCTTTGATGTGCTGCTTTGGTTTCTGCTATTCATGCCCCACTCAAGGGTCAGTCTGAACGTTGGGCTTGGTTTACAACATGATTCTGTTTTCAAGGCCTTCATGTCTTGCTTTGGGTCAGTCCCAGGAATGAGCATCTGAGGGGTGAGCCTGGGACTTGTGTGGATTTCTAGATAGTATTTGGGGGATTTTGTTTTCCATTTTTCTTTTCTCTGAGATCCCCACTTGCTCTCTGACCTGCAGGGACCATGGTTGGTTCCTCTGGGAGGAACAATAAGGTCTGCCCCCTTGCTACCTGTGCAATAGCTGCACGGGGTGCTTGCTCATGGTGGGAGATGTTAGACTAAACAGACAAAACAGGAAACTTAACCCGCATATGAACGACTTTTTTCAGGTTTTGATTTTCTTCTTTAATCTGTTTGCTTTTGTTTACTTTTTGACCCAGAGTTTTAGTTATAATTAGTGGGGGTGTGATAGGGGCCTTAGTGGCTTATTACCTCTTACTGGCACTAGATATTAGCAATTCATTTTTATTTACTACTTTACTAAGAGAAAAAGCTTTATCTCCAGATAATCAACTGCCTCTCTTTTTAACCTTACTTTATTGAGATCACTGGTGTGCATGCGCATGTGCACACACACACACACACACGCACACAACATATAGGAGCACAGATTATATATGTGTGTGTGTGTGTGTGTGTGTGTTGTATTTCATTATAGCGTTTTGCTACACAATGCCCCCAAATAGCTTTTTTTAAAAAAACCTAATTTATTGCAATTATATTAGAGCATTCCAGTTGCTTTTCAGCCTAAATTCCAAAGAGATTCAAATACATGTTGGAGGGAAGATTTCACACTTTAAAACCTTTTTTAAGTTTGGTTGTTTTTTCCGTGAGAGAGAGGTGGGCACGCCAACTAGATCTCCACACCATGATCCACCCCAGTGTCAGACAGCTAGTATCACACACTATACTTGTGTGCCAATGTGCTCAGCATGAAACCTAGGACTCCTCTCCTGTGGACCCAGTCATGCCACCACATAGTTCCAGAATCCTTGTTTCTTAAATTAAAATTCCATTTAACTAGAATATTCCAGTTTATTAAGGCATTATCTGTTTCAACTTTTCATTTCAAAATAATTGTAGATTCACAGGAAATCATTCATGGGCAATATAACCATAACCTAGTTTACCTAATGGTCATCTTATGTAATTATAATACAATACCAGCCAGGATTTGGCGTGGTTTCAATGTGTATGCATACTTCCATACCATTTCATCACATAAGGCTTAGTAGCCTAGTAAATCCATAGACGCCCATCCCTTAGATATTGCCATTACCTGATGTATATATGAACCACCCTGCCTAATAATTGTTCATGTGTATCGATGTAATTCCTTAAGATACCTTCTAACTTCTGAAGTATATATTTAATTTGATGAGATTTAAAGACTTTCAGTACAATTACTCACTGAAAAGCTTTACTTACCAGTTGAAGAGAGACCATGGTGTTGGCAAGAACGGAAAAGTGATCTCCTTGACCCCTTTCCCTGAGTGAGTCTGGGATCTCTTAGTCTTCTGACCCATACATTTTCAGATGACATCCCCACCCATCATGGCATTGTGGATCCTTGGCCTCCATTTTTCTTGGATCATCTTAGATCTGAACAGATCTGAACTCACTGCCTTGACTATGGGGAAAAATACCCTCTCAATTCTTAACCCTATTCCTGCACCTCTGTGTAGTAGCTCCAAAGGAGGAAGAAAATAG